CCAAACACCTCCTGTCCAACGCAACTACTGCTGCGCTGCTTCTCTGCGTTTGTGATTACCGGAGATGAGAAAAATGACCCACAAGGGTCGTCGAAAAAGGGCAATAATCTTCTGTCGGCTAAGCCCTCCTCACAACTGATTAAACATCACCATAATCACCCCGTATGACAGTTGTACCATCGAAGGTTGGAGTACCGAGAGAAAGAGCTCACCGAAAGAACCGACTGCTCTTCCTTCAAGCAAAAATTTAACAATCTGGAGTTTTAAAGTGTCGTCGATGGCGAAATCAAGCTAGAAGCTTTAAACTTGTGCGACGATGACGAATGGAGTAAGAATTTAACAAATGTCTGTAAAAAACTCGTCGATCAAGTTTGTTTGATTTTAGGAACTTTCAAAAGAAATCGAATAACAATCAAAGTGCCCAAAATATAAACACGAAACAATTCAAGTAGCAAGTAGAAAAAAGTTGGAAAATTTGTGAGTACCTCCACGAACGATGCTCAAACTGAAGAAGAGGATGATGCGGCAAAGATCACAACCGAGACCAGTCTTGTCTGGATAATTAATTGTGATCACAATAGCTTCATCTTCCTTCTCCGTTTGCTTGATTATCACAACGTCTTCATGTAGTATACCCATCTGTTATGAAATTCGTCGGAGGAGGAAGCTCTCTGGGAGGAAGAAGAAAGGAAACGAAGTGGTGGTGATGGTGGCGGAATGAGGGGATGATTATGTGTTTGAAAATTGGGTCGATATCTAAATGGTTAATGATTGCGATAACTCCACTAAGGTTTTGGTGAGTCCAACTTAGTGTGTTTTTGTGTGTGTGTGTGTATGTGTGAGTGAGTGTGAGAGAGAGAGAGAGAGAGAGAGAGATTATATATTAAATAATTATATTTAGTTTTTTCTTTTAAAAAAACAAAATAACTGAAAAGATCATAAATGGTCCCTGTGGTGTGAAATGACGAAAATGCCCCTCAATTAACGGACAAAAGTTAACGGAATTAACACTAAGGACCATCTGTCAAAAGTTTTGAAAGCACAGGGACCATTTATGAGATTTTTAAACCACGGAGATTAAACTTCATAATCTAGGAAAACACAGGGACCATTTATGATGTTTTTTTCTTATTATTATTAGAAATACACTACAATTTATCACTTTTAACTATTTACAAAATATTTTTTGGTAATTTAAGTTAAACTAAAACTTATATTTAAGTTGATCATATAATATTATATTTAAATTAATAATTTAAGTATTTTATACAAATTGTTCTAAAATTCTATCTTTAAAATGATAATAATTTACATCCAACAATATATTAAAACTAATAAATCATGTATAATATGTTAAAAGTTAAAAAACATAATTTTATAAATAGAAGTAAAGATAATATTTTAGTATTGAAATTTAATTTATATATGATTACACTTTATATTTGATATTTATTTAACCTTATTAATCAATTTATAATTTGTATTAAAAAGAAATTGAAAAGTCATATTAATTTAAAATGAAAGTGGTGAAAGAAAAAAAAAATACAAGGGAGTTTCAAATGAATATAATGAAAAGAAAAATATTTTTTTTATAACATAACTAGATTATATTATATTTTTATATTGTGAAGTGGTGATCAATTTAGAATAAAAAAAATTTGAAGGTTTAAATTCATCACAAGTATTCTAACATTTGTGTGTTGTAAAATGATATTATAATTAACGGATGTTATTTGGTAAATGGTAACTGGTAAGCCCAATTATAAAAGCATTTACTATCCTTTTGTTAGTAATTACTAATTAGTTTTCGTTTTCAATATCGTTGGATAAAACCAAATTCTTTTTGATGATGGAAAGCATATAAAATAGGATTAAACCGAATTCTAATGACTTAAGAAAATCGATATGTTATAGAAAAAAAAAATTAATAATAATAATAATAATAATAATAATAATAATAATAATAATAATAATAATAAAAAATTAAAAAAAATTAAAAAAAAATTAAAAAAAATTAAAAAAAAAATTAAAAAAAAAAAAAAACCAACTCGATCTTTTGATAGGTATTTTTCTTTTCCTTCAACACACACATTATCTTGTTATTATTATTTATAATTAAGATTAAGATTTTGTATACGTAAATGTAAAATACTAGTTTGTATTGTATATATAGAAGTCCTACTGTCCTAGGAAATACCCTCAAACCATTCGTTCCGCACACCAAGAAGAAACTCTATAAACCCGATCACTTTCATTAACCAAAAGCCAGATATTTACTATCCAATATGTCAGAAAGTCTCTCAGATTCTGATACTGCCATGCTTGAATTTGTTCGAAAACACCTTCTTGAAGATCACGACATCTCTTGTTCTTTTCCTGCGAGGAATTCATCATTCGACAAACGACTTTACAGCCGGAGTTCAAGCTTCACAAGCCCTTACTCGTTTGATACATCCATCGAACAATCATTGTCTGTAGATTCATATGTCGATTCTCTTTCTTCTGTAATAAGTTCTTGCAATTCAAGGGTGTGTAGCCCTAGGGCTAGCAATAGTATCACCAATCATGTTTTTCATGATAATTCTCTAGAGAGTTCACTCAGCGAATCAAATAAGAGCCCTACTTCAAGCAAATCTCAATCGCATTCCTCGATAATTCTTGGTTCAGATAACTCAAATAATATCTTTCAAGTTACGAATTGGGAAGTTGGACCTACACTTCATAGCCCATGCTCACAGATTTCAACGGAGGAAGCGCTGTTTAAACTTGATTTCTCACTTGGAAAAGTCGAAAAGATACAGAAGAATGATCAAAAAACTAAAGATTGGAGACGATTTAGAGGCGTAAGGAGACGACCATGGGGAAAGTTTGCAGCTGAGATAAAGAACCCATGTAAGAAAGGTGCTCGGATTTGGCTTGGAACATTCTCTACACCTGAAGAAGCCGCGTTGGCTTATGATCAAGCAGCATTCAAGATTCGGGGTTCACGAGCCATGGTTAACTTCCCACATTTGATCGGATCAAAAACCATAAAACCTTTATGTTCTTTGTCAGAGGTAGCTTTGGAATGCAAGTTAAAAAACAAAGGCTTCAAAACGAAAACCCAACAGTGACTGGTTTTTTGTATCTGTATTTTAAAAACAATAATGAAGTTGTATACTTTACAGATTAATTTCTTTTGACATTTCTTGGTCTCAAGAATCGACATCGAAAAGTTCAAATTATGTGCAATAACTACATAACATAGGTGGACTTAAACTCTGATCCATAATTAGGGTTTACGTAGTCAATGGTAATGGAAAACACGTGGTGATTGAAATGTGTTTGGTTGTAGGGATTACAAGAATTTTAAAATAAGGAAATGATGACACATGCAAACTGTTATATTATGGCTGCATGCGTATCTATTATTCTGTATTGAATAGTCTCATTATTTTATAAATAAATAAATGCAACACGAGTGTCCAGTTGATACTGACAGATTGTCCATGTTTGATTTTTTATTCCAATAACAAAATCCAATTGCAAAACATGCATTACAGACAACAGAGATACATCAAAAACACGAAAAGAAGCATTGGTAGAAACATCAAACATGGAAACAGAAACACATGTGAAACCCTTGATTAAAATATGTAGGCTAATCCCGAGAACTTTCCATATAAAATGTGTTGTAAAGTATAGTAGAATCAGAATCACGGTACGATATAATTATATACTTATAAATAAACTATTTTTTCTTTCACGATATTCATTTGAAATTCTCATTAGTTTCAATTTCTTTTTAATAATGATTATAACTTGGTTAATAAGGTTAAATAAACATCAAACCTAAAGTGTAATTAGATATAAACTAAGTTTCAATATTAAAATAATATATTTTCTTATACTTATAAAGTTATGTTTTTAAAATTTAACAAATTATACTTAATTTATTACACTACTAGAAACTTAAGTTTCAGCAACGGATTAGCGAGGGATAAATCTTGTAGCAAAATTTTAGCTTTATAGCTAGGGATTTACAACAGATGTGCGATGTTTTAGACATTTAGTTTATTTATTCCACATTTTTCTTAGGATTGAGGGTTTATCGAGGGATCAACTACGAATCTTGCAAGTGTTATCGATGCACCTCAATCCCTTGCCAATCGGTCGAAGATGATGGCATTTCAACGAGGGTTCAGCGACAGATAGAGAAATTGTCAATTTTTTCCATCTGATATGTGTTTAGCGATAAAACGCGGATGGAAATTTTATTTGAGGTACGTGTGTTTTTGTTTTAAAAGCCGATCTCTCGCTGAAATTGGCGCAGCACAATTCTAGTTTCACGAAATTGTTGGAAGTTTCCTTCCCTCCCAAATCCTATATATCACTCCGGAGTAAGTTCCCTACGCTATCTTAACCTAATATCACCATCTCCTTTCAAACAAAAGACGAAACACCACACCATTGATATCTTCCGATTCCGGCAACCTCCATAAAATCTAGAAGTTGTTTTCATTTACTTTTGATTCAGGTAAATCTCTTGATTTTCTTTTCTTTAGTTAGGTTAGGTTTAGTTCATTTGCACAATATATTACATTAAGGTTTAATTTCCCTATTTTTCTGTTTCAATCATCATCCCTCTTATACCGCAGCATTACATGGACGATGTGAATCGATTGCATTATGTAATTAAAACCTCTATTTGTGATTCCTGAATCTCATCTTCTAACTTGACATGTTCCTTCATCTTTTGAATGTTTGTATCTAATTCAAGAGGTTTTGTAGCTCTGTAGTTTTAACTAGTGTTTCTAAGCTTCCCTCCACTTGTTTCTCAAGTGTTTCTATTGATTTTTTTTTCTTTTCGACATCAAGCTTTAAAGGTACATCTTCATTAGATAGAGACACATAACAATAACATAATACATCTCTAAATCACCAAATATAGAAACATCATACTTTTGTAATTAAAAGTTTCCAACTTATAGGAATGTATTAGCTCCACTATCTCTTGAGGTATGATGTTCAATTGGCTATCGCTTTCACCAGGTAAACATAAGATCACTGATAAATGGATACATCCTGATGAGAGCCACAAAAGTGAACTATGAGAATGAGATATTGTTTATTTAACAATAACAATAGCTTTGAGTTGCATTTCTTTCAAACTTTTAGGATCATGGGCTAGATATGCTTTATGTGGTAGCTATATGTATAATGTACTATATATCATACAAACTATTGCTAACGAGTGGTCTGCAGAACTGAGTGCCAAGGTTAATCAGGTAATTTTTGTCTTAGTGAAATATCATAAATTTAAGATTTTGTAAGAAGCAGTTAGTTTTTCAGCATATTACTTGTTTTTGGGACTTGTATTCTCAGTTTATTTGAGGAGAACTAATGCATTGCTATCAAATCACTTACCACCAAAGGTATGAAACTGTAAAATCACTTTATTCATACTTCATTCACTTTATTCGTTCAAAAAATAATGTGTATAATTTGCAGATAGTTGAGGTTTCCAACTTTTCTTGTGATCATTTCCAAGAATTCCCATGCTAAGTATGAATTTCCATTTCGTTTTTGTAATGCTCTATAGCTGTATGACAAAATGCCTAACAGAGACTACTCAATCTGTCAATGATGCAGCTCTGGTGGCAAAGTTCTTTCTGTAGACTACACAAACCAGGTTCGGGAGCTTGCCAAAAAACATAACCCAAAGCTTCATATAGACGGACGTCGTATCTTTAATGCATCTGTTGTGAGTTAGAGAAACCATTTTCAAATTTCAACCTACATCCATCCATTCATTTTCATGATTTTTTTTTTCAGGTTCTTGGTGTCCCTGTTCATAGGCTTGTACAAGCTACTGATTCTGTTTCAGTATGGCCTCACTTCCAATTTCCAAAACCTTTTTCTTATGAATTATGATCATTATAAAATGGAAACAAGAATCATGTTATAGTTTTTAAAAAATGAATTCACAATATATTGTGTTTCAGGTATGCTTTTCGAAAGGGCTTGGTGCACTAGTTGGAAGTGTTATTGTTGGGACAAAGAGCTTCATTGACAAGGTATATAATATATATAGTATATCTTGATATAGTTCTTGAAAGTTGACCATTTTTTGGTTAACAGTTTCTTCTATTGAGTTAAAAGCTTCAATCTTTTTAACATATAGGCAAGGATTTTGCGAAAAACTTTAGGTGGGGGAATGAGACTGGTGGGAATCCTATGTGCTGCTGCTCTTGTTGCTTTACAAGAAAACGTTGGAAAGCCTGGAAATGATCACAAGAATGCCAAGACTTTAGCTTGGAAATGATCACTTTATTCATTCAAAAAATGTAAGTTTCTGTTTGGACATTATTACTATATGCTCTTATATAACTGATATGTGTATTGATAGTCGTCTTAAATAGAAATTTGAACACACATGATTGTAGGTGAAACAAGCAATTGTTGAAGATGTGAAACAAACAAAAATTCTAGCTTATATAACTGCCTTGAAGAAGCTCTGCAATCATCCAAAAGGTAAAACATTTTTGGAAGAATCACAACATTATTAGGTCAAAAAAAAATTATTCATTTCTTTGATATTGTAGCTGATTTATGATACAAGGAAAAGTGGGAAGCCAGGGACATCAAGGTTTGAAAACTGTATGCGTTTTTTCCCTCTAGGAATGTTATCCGGAAGGTAAAACTAAATCATGTCTTATTATGTTGTGTTATTTTGTACATTGTTCTTGATATTTATTTATTTTGTTAATTATTAATTTGTTAGATTTGGATCTTAGACTGGTGGTGATGGATCTTGGAGTGGTGGATGATGACCTGGTTGAACTGTCAGGAAAGATGCAAGTATTGGCCTGTTTGTTGGCCCATCTTTGTAAGAGAACTGATGATTGAATTGGATTGGTTTCAAATTATACTCAGGTATAAATTACAAGTTCTTTTATGTAATTAGGAGTTTAATAAAAGTGATTAAATATTTAAGTAGCTGTAATTCTTCAGACACGGAACAAAAGTTGCAGGATGGGTCCACATCAATCAGCATAATACAAAAGTTGGTCAACTGCTTCAATGATCCATCAAAGGTATTTAATTTTTAATCATTTAATAAGTACATACTCATTTAATAAAAAAAAATACACATCATTATGTTGCAGGATGAGTTTGCATTTCTTTTAAGCAGCAAAGCTGGTGGTTATGGCCTCAACTTGAAATAGACTTGTTCTGTTTGACCTGATTGGAATCCTACAAATGACAAACAGGTACTCAGACACTCAACATTGTTTTTCTACGGACGAAGTCGTCTTTTTTATACCTTTCTTTTCCATGTAGGCTGATGTAAGAGTCTAGAGGGATGGACAGAAGAAGATAGTATACTCTATAGGTTTTTGATATTAAACATTTTGATGTTTTTGGATGTTTTGTTTAGTACTTGATTTTGGTATTTTAATATTAGTGTTTGTTTTGGATTGTATAATTATTTGATGTTTTTGGTATTTTATTATTATTTAGTTTGGGATTGTATAATTATTCATGTTTTATTTATTTTTTTTTTGTTTTAGATTTGCAATAAAAAAATTAAGATTATATATTTGCGAGGGATCGACGACGGAAGCAAAAAAAAAAATCACATCTAAATTTTGCTAGGGATCAGCGACGGAATATAAAAAGACAGATATAGAGGTTTGCAAGGGATTAGCGACATAAAATAAAAACATAGATATAGAGCTTTGCAAGGGATTAGCGACAAAATATCTATTTAGTTTTACCGCTGATGTCCTAAAATAACGGTATTAAGAGAGCAATTTGCGATGGATATTCCGTCGCTAATGTCGTCGCAAAGAAAATCAAGTCCGTCGCTAAATCTCTCGCTAAGCCATTAGCCACTTTTTATTTGGCTATGGAGTAAGTCTATCACAGATCCATCGAAAAAGACCTCTAGTGACGGAATGGCGACGGATTCATCCGTCGCTAAAACCTATGTTTCTAGTAGTGTTAGGTCTAATATGTTGTTATATGTAAATCATTATCATTTTTAAACTATAATTTTTCAATAATTTGTATAAAATACATAAATTGTTAATTTAAATGTAACCATACAGGATTAACATAAATATATATTTTAGTTCAACTTAAACAACCTGAAGAATATTTTGTAAATAGTTAAAAGTGATAACTTGTAGTGTCTTTTTAATAATGATTATAACTTGGTTATAAAGTTAAATAAGTATCAGACATAAAGTGTAATCATAAATAAACTAAATTTTAGTATTAAAATAATATTTTTACTTCTAATTATAAAGTTATGTCTTTTTAACTTTTAACATATTATACTTAATTGGTTAGATTTAATATGTTGTTGTATATAACCATTATGAGTTTAAAGCTACAAATTTTGAACAATTTAGACAAAATATTAAATTGTTAATTTAAATATAATATTACAAAGTCAACTTTAATATATTCCAGTCCCACTTACAAAACTTAAAAAATATTTTGTGAGTAGTTAAAACTGATAAATTGTAGTGCTAAATAAAAAAACTAAATTTTAATATGAATTTAACTAAAATATTTCCTAAAGATATTTTTATAATCGTTAAAAGTTTTTAAATAAATAGCTTAAATAACTTACAATAACAACTCTTAATAATAATTTCATATAAATAATTATATTATTACCTTTAAAATAAAAAAAAATATTTGATGTTTTAAATAATTATAATGATAGAAATTAAAATGTTAAGCAAAAAAATTTAAAAAAACTAATTAACGAAAACAATTATAAATAACATTAAAATATATATTATATTTAATTTTATTATGAGTAACCCGCGGGTAGAAACCATTCAAAAGATTGAGTTTATATAGTTTTAATAGATGTATATATTATCCTATAATTCAAAATAATCAATATATTATATTAACTTACTATATAAATTAATATATCAAATTTAAAAAAAAAACATTATTGTTATATTTAAAAAAAAACATATATTTGTAATGATTCCATCTAATAAAACACTACAAAATTATAACATTTACATCAAACAAAACTTATGAAACATTTACAAATCATTCAAAATGAATATTTAGCAATCAACATACACTTGATATATAGAAACATTTTTATAAAAAAATTGTGTTGAAATAACCATTGAAGCGACAAACCTTAGTTTTTTTCAACTCTTTCAATTTTGAATCACAAATCTTTTCAAACACATGATTTTTAATCATAACTTAGTTATGTACTGCTAATACCACATTCATTTAATATTTTTCCTTTCATCACATTCATTTGAAACTCTCATAAATTTTCAATTTTTTTCTAATAATGATTATAAGTGGGTTAATAATATTAAATAAATATCAAACTAAATGTTTAATCATATATAAACTAAATTTCAATATTAAAAGAATATTTTTACTCCTAATTATAAAGTTATGTTTTTTTAACTGTTAACATATTATACTTAATTTATTAGTTTTAATATATTGTTGGATATAAACCATTATCATTTTAAACAACCCAAAAAATATTTTGTAAATAGTTGTTAGAACAAAGTTCTTTCAGGATCGATTGATACTATACATGAAACAATTACGAATGAAAATATAAACACAAAAATGACTTGAATGTGTCGTATGATTAATACTTCAACACCTCAAAAGAGCTCGATTAAGAACTTCGACTGTAGAAGCGTTTTGGGTTACAAAAACTTAAGCGTAATTAAAAGACGTAACAATATAATGTGTGTGTGTGTGTGTGTGTATATATATATATATATATATATATATATATATATATATATATAGTATAACCCTACAAGGTGATCATGGATGGACAGGCCCAATCCGGATACAAATCAAAAAGCCCATGACGCAACACAAATAAACTCTACAATCTCCCCCTTTGCGTCAATGGGACTGAAAGGCTACTTCGGTTGAGCAGCAAAAGACTTCTTGATCGTTTTAAATAGCTTCGGTATAATGGCGAAAAGATGATGACGAAAAGTGATATATCACCAAAGCATGTCAGTGAAGTTCTTCTTATCTACCTCGGAATTCTGCTTGCACCGATGAATTATGTTGATGATGTGCTCTAAGCAGTCTAATGAGAAGAGATGTTTATCCACAAGAGCGAACAAAAATTTGTGCCCTTCACCCTTAGTGAACATCACAGTAAGATGCTTTGAATCAATCTGGCCAATCTTCATCTTATTCACATCTCCTGGTTTCGGTGTCGACTTAACAGTCACCTTCTTCTTCATCACCTTTGCAATCTCTTGATCCATACTCGCAACTTCATAAACATATGAAGCTAACATCCTCTTAAAGTGTTACAGAATCGGCTCATATTCTCCTGAGTTGGTGAGCAGGATGTTGAACAGAAGAATCCAATCATGAGGGTTGTGATTTGGAAGATCTGCTAAAGAAATCATAGACACCGAATTTGCAGACCCTCGAGTGCCCTTGAAATTTTCATTGACAAACTTTCCAGCAGAAGTCGATTTCAATACCTTGACAGTAATAATCTTCTGTGCACTCCATGTCAAGTATTGAGGTTGCCCATAAGTAAGATAAAAGTCAATCAGCTCTCTGTCAACATTTGAATGAGGGAAAGGAACCTCGACAGTCCAATCAAAGCAGTGAAACGTAAAATCTTTTCTAGTAATTGGCATGTCGAACTGCGAGTCCTTTGAGTTGTCACAATCAAAAAAGCAACAGGTTCCAACCAATTGGCGCTTGGGAACTATATCGCTTGATGGATTAGTGTCTCTTTAGTCCATAAGGGAAACAAGGCCTTTTTGCAGTTTAAGGCTTCTTCTTCGTCCTTGTTTATCCTTTCCCTCTCTTCTGCTTCCTTGGCAATTTTTAAGTTCTCATCCAACTCTCTATCTCTCTTCTTCCTCTTGAGGGCATCAGCAATTCTCTCCTTATTCTCATCATCACTATCATCTTGAACAATTTTCACCTTCGGTTTGGAACCAGAACCTGAAGCTACATTATCCTTCAGTTTTGTTTTGACATTATAAGCACCCTCTCCCCCTTGTTTCGGAGCAACAAACTTCTCTGGAACATCCTTCATTTCATGCAATAGGGTAAGGGGGGAAGCAATTTGGTTGTCAGATGATTCCGAATGGTAAGAGTCAATATCTAATCATGAGCACCAAGTATATTGGTGAGCATGTCCTTGACTTCCCCGACACATCTTCTAAACACTGCACTTAATGCTTTTAATAATGTAATATCCTTCTCAGCCTGATCAAGTTTAACTTTCTGCACTTCAATAGTAGAGGCTTGTCTAGCAATATCTTCTTTTTAAAGCACTCTCTGTGGAAATATCAGTACGAAGAGAGTCCAACCGAGAAGAAACTGAACTGATGAAAGAGGTGTTTTCAGCTTGGATGGAGGACCAAACAACCTCAAACTTTGCTTGTTCGTCCTGTAGGGATTTGTAAAGAGAGTTCACAAAAGCTTGTACTTTTGCAACATTGGTATCGGCATGCCCTTTAAGCGAATCTAAGAAAATCTGAGTTGTAATAACAACATCCGCAACATCGGCATAGGCCTTCTTCCAAGTAGAGGTAGATGCATCGGTTACTT